TTTTTTTAATATTTTTTGTCGAAAACATTGAGAGATAAATATTAGGTAAATAAATTTTATTCATTTAAATTAAAATTTAATTTCAATCATATTTTAATTGTATTGCTTGGTTGAATTTATATGTAAACATTAAATTAATTTCAGTATTAATTGAAGAACTGATTTATTTTTTTGTCCAGAAAAAATTAAGTACCAACGTCATGTACGTCGATAAACTAAGATTGTGTAGTGCAACCCAGAAAATCAATTCCAATGTATAGCTTGTCGGTAAATATACTGAATTTTAATCTTTAAAATAAATTAAGAAGTTAGACACTTTACGCATGTCGGTAAGTTAACTGATGTGAGAAAGTCTGGCAGTTGCACTTATCCGGTGAATTTCTTTACAGGCATGGGTTATGTTGATAATATGCAGAAAATTCACCCATCTGACTTCACATTGTTGCGTGCATCCGTGAGGGGACTTATGCTGACACCAATTTACTGACATATGTTAAATGGGTAATGGGATTTTCTAATATAATTCCCCTACTTACCGACGTGCTTTTTCGTTGATAAACCTATGCATTTTAGTAGTGAAATATTCTTGGAAAAAAAAAGTGTAGCCAATAAAATGTACTGTATAATTAAAATATATAATTGTAATATATTAATTGATAATAAAATAATTCATTAGATCGTATGATATTTTTAATTTTTTATTTTAATAATAATAAGTATTTATTTAATTTATATTTTAAAAGTATAAGTTAAGGGTATAATAAATATATTTTTTATAATTAATTTATATTAAAATTTATAAAAGTTTATATAAATTTTAACATCATTGACACATGAATTATTTTAATTAGTTAATTAATTAAATTAAAAGTAACATTTATACTTTTGATAAAACTTAATTCTAAAAATATATATTTATTACATTATTATTTTGTTCTTTAGGGTATAAGATAAACAATCTTAATAATAATCACATTTAAAAAGAATTCAAAAAAAAAAATACTAAAAAGAGGAAAGCCAAACCACCCTATTAACAAAAGAGTAAAGCAAAGAAGATATATGAATATGACGCATGGTAAATTTTCTCTTAATAATTTCTCTTTTATAATATCAACTTTGCAAGGTGTCATTTTCTTTTATAATATATATATATAATGCACCTCTCATACTAGTATAGTATATTTAAAATAATTATTATTTATTGAGATATTGTTTATTGAAAAAATTTTAGATATTAACTTTAAGATAAATTCTAAACTAACTTATAAATATAATATTTATTTATCAATAAATTTAACAATTGAGATTTCTTAATTTTTAAATAAATGGAAAACCAAAGGGCAAGAGCCAGATTTTATCATGAACGAGTCTGAAACTAAAATGCACAACACTTCGAAATTGTTGTCCAGTTGTAGGGGCGGCTGCAGTGTTTGATTGAAAGACGCAACTTCAAATCGTTAGAATCACACATTTTATTTTCAAGTGTGGTTATTACCATTAAAATTAGGAAAATGATTGATATTTAAAATTATTAATGCTAGTAAAATTTTATTTTTTTAAATAGTATTTAAAAATATTAATTTATTAATTAATGTTAATTTATTAATTTTTTAATATTAATTTATTAGTTAATAAATACTAATTATTTTATTAATTATTTTTATCAATTAAATTAAATATAATTAATATTTTTGAAAACAATATTTTACAAATTTACCAGCCTTAACATTGTTATTTTTTTTTTTTTTAGTAAAAAGCGAAAGAATAGTTCGCTTTGTGCTCACTGCATGGCTGCGGCTTAACATTGTTATTTGTTGGCATAACCATAGCCTTAATTTCCCTTCCTCTATTTTTACTTCCTTTTTTTTTTTCACCTTGGAAAATTCTAGTCATTTATTGACATCACCCACCAAATTCCAACGGTTTTCTGGCTGTGGTTTTGGGATGAGGTTGTTTCTATGTCACTAATTTAATTATAATTTTATATGTTTATATTTTTCAAATAGTTATTTGTAATATTTAAAGATATTTATTTATAAATTAATTTTAATTTATTAAATAATAAATAATAATTATTTGATTAATTATTATTATTTTTAATTATCAAGTTAAAATAAAAAATTGGCAATTTTTAGTTGCCTTAACAAAAGTTACAGTAGCCATAACTATTTTTGTAGTTCTGGCTACAAATATTATTATTAGCGTGATACAATATAATTGATATTTTATTCCTTATATATATATATATGAGAAAAGTAAAAATTTGGTAGTCCTAATATTTAAAATATCAAGATTGTTAATAAAATTATTTTAATATAATTAGTGAATTTTTCTTATATATATTATTTCATTTAGAGTATTAAAATAAATTCATAAAAAGTACTAATATTTTAATTATTAAAATATCTTAATTTTTTTAATTTCATTATAATTAATAATTTTTTAAATAATAAATTATGATATTTAAAAATATTTATATATTAACTTATTTTAAATTATTAGATAATATATGTCAATTGTTTTACCTGTTATTAAATTTTCTTAATAACCAAATTAGTAAAATAACATTAAAAAAAATATGACCCTAACCATGATATGTGTGTCCATAGCCACAATCCCTTTTTTATGAAACCAAAAAAGTCATCTCTATGTTTTTATTTATTCTATTAAGCACTCATTACATTATACTTTAATTAGACTATTTTTTCTTTAATAAAATGAGGATATAATAATTTCCTTCATTCAGTAATCATAGTTTTAATTTGAATTTTTTACTTTTAAAACAAAATTTAAGTAAAAATTTAACATAAAAAATAAGTGCCAATTGTTTTTTTTCCCAAAAATGTAGTTTTTGTTTAATAGCTTTACCTTATCAAAAAAATTTTCAATGTCATTCATAAGTGTTAAACTTTGGTTTAAACTTTTATTTTAAAAGTCAAAATATCAAAAAATTAAATTAAAATTACTCTTTTAAATAGAGAGAATAATTGATAAAATTTCTCTAATACTATTAATTAACCAAAACTTAAATTAATGTACTTACTATAGTATGTGTTGTAATTTTTTATTAAAATAAGAGTAAAATAAAAATAAACACATTAAATAATATTTTAAAATAAAACAGTGAACTATAAACTTATAATCATCCTAAATTATAAGACCATCAAAATCGAATAGAGGAAGTATTTATTAAGAGGGTGTTGTCAAAGTTTAAAAAGTAACTTGCCTAAATGCTATTTTTTTTATAATTTAAGAATTTATTAGAGAAAAAATTTTAAAATTAATTTTTAAAATACAATAACTTAAGTAGTTTTGGAGAAAATTTATATATGTAAAATTTTTCAATACTTGCTTAAAAGTTATTTCAAAAGTTAATTTTAAAAATTTTTAAATAAAATTTTAAATTTATTAAATAAAAATTTACTTTTAAAATAAATAATTTTTAAACTTTACCCTTTCAAAAAAAAAAAAAAAGGGGGAAAGGGGGTACCTTTAAAGCTTTAGCAATTTCACATATCTTAAAATTCGCGCAGTTGACAATTGAATGACACGAGAAGCTTTCCAGTCCAACTATACAAGTGTTCTATTCCATCAACGCTAAATAAACATATGGACAAGGACATAAAGGATGTCTATCTTCTGACCAAGAACGAAATTAAATTTTAGTTTCACAGAAAGAGTGAGGAGAATTATGTGGGTGCTTCATAAACCTTTGATTCTAGGATACTTAGGTACCCTAATTTTTAATTGTTATTACTAGGTCCCCAGCTCTTCCAAATTTTTTATTTTTATTTTTTGGTACATAACTCTTCCAAATGTTTAGTTACGTATGTTGCTTCATTCATTTTCACCATCTTAAAGAGAAGTATTTATGTGTAAATTCAAATGATGTTTATGGATCAATCTATTTTTATCGTAAATTGCAAAGCTTTTAAATGACATCACATGTCACATTATTTGAATAAGCAATTACGATTAAACTAAGTTAGATTTACATATTTGATAATTATCTCCTAATTATTTGATGTTATTTAAGTTATTAGAGATAGTAGTTATATTTTAGGAGGAATTGTTAGCTAAATTTGGTAAAAGTGAATTGACAAATATTTTGTAAAGAGCAAAGTGTTGGCAAATTCTAGTGTATGTTTTGATAAAGTTAATTGTTGAGCTACACATCTAAACCAAAAAAATCAACCATGTTTTGCAACAATGGGGAAGTGGGAAGTTACAAGTTTTCTTTGTGCAACAAAAAGGAAAATTCAAAGCATTGCAATATACAGTTTATTCTATTCACAAGATTCAACAACAATTTCAACTTTTTACCATTCTAGCAATTATTTAACACAACTCTCAGACTTTAGCTTCAGCAAAATTTTCATTTAGATTTAGATTGGTTCTAGTTTTTCAATTAGTCAATTCAACTATTGTAATTAGTTAAACATCAATTCCTTTATCTAGCATATCAGTTGCAGTCTTTTTAATTCAATAAAGGTATTGCATATCTTTTTTTTGAGCTCTACAATAAGACACATACCTTTCTCATCCTTTTTACCCTCTTTATTCTCTTTATTTATTTGACATACATATTACAACTTAAACTCATGATATCTTATTCTCTTTAAAGATATCACCTCTTAAATTACTCGCAAGAAAATAACGAATTTAAATAAGAAAATTATAAAATTCATTATATGTATATAGTCTAGTATTTTGCAATTCAAATTGTAAATTATAAAAGATCATCCATAACATAATTAATTGTGACTTAAATCCAATAAAAACAACTTAAACTGATAATGCTCATACATAAAACAATTAAGAGAATTAGCACTTAGTTCAATCTATGTTAAAGAGTTAGAGACTATATTCATCTACTTTATCCATAATTTCTAGAAGAAAACCCAATTTGTTTTTTTTTATTTAAGACATAGAGTCAAATCATCTTAAAGTGGAGGTATCACCGCAGAACGGAACTTTAATTTTGGGCCATACACTCCACTAAACCTGAACTAGAGGTACCTTCAAGCATCTTCTTATTTTCAGCCTTAATTATTTCTTCTTATCAAAATTATTGGACTAAACTCCTCACGTTTCTCTCCACTGTCCTCAAAATCCTCCAAAATTCAGAATCCCCTTCAAGATTTTCTCTTCTTAATCACACCCATCTCTCCTGAACCAACCTCATTTTCTCCACCGCAAGTTCTAATCTCATTCATTCCTTTTCTCTACTTTAATAAATATCGCAGAAGTTTGCAATGAAAAAACACATTTTTCTGTCTTTTACTGCTAACTCCTTTCTCCATCTAAAAATTTGGACCTATAAATAAATGGGGGTCAGTGTTTAGTTTTCTTCCAAACTTTCTAACCGGCAATTTCCATAGACCTCCAAAAATGTGCAGAGGATTTCCAGAGGGAAACAGAGGCATTAGTTCCTGTCTGAAACAGGGTACTTCATCGTCACTGTTACCGTCGCTGGTCCGGTGTGAGCTCTGCAACTCGAGGGCTTCATTGTATTGTCCGGCCGATGATGCATTTCTATGTCGGAAATGTGACAGATGGGTCCACCAGGCTAATTTCTTGGCGCTCAGACACATCCGATGTTTCCTGTGTAACTCCTGTCAGAATCTCACCAGAGATATCTCATCGGAGCTTCGACGGAGGTAGTGCTGCCGACGATCGTTAGCTTGATGTCGGAGAGTCAAGGAAGGCGGTGTGATTCTGACGTTGAGAGAGAGTGTTCCACGAAACTCAAAACTCCTTTTCTTTCTCTTTGATCCTTCCCTGTTTTGATTTTACCCTCTTATTTTTTTTCTTTTTTCTTTTATGCAATCATGATGGGAGAAGTTTCTAGTTAGTTTGCTTTCTGAAGTAGTATGAAGAAAGTGGGGAAAAAAGAAAGATTACAGAAACTTGAAGTCCATGAAGATGAGAAGAGAATAATGAAGATAATTATTAGGATCTCAATATGCAATCTTTAGAATCTATAAACAAGATTGAATCAGACATTAATGCATTTTCGTTTTTCTTTGCACATCCAGTGGTTAGTTTAATGACCCATATGATCCTCTTTCTTTCCAAATCCTCTGGCTGCTTCAGTTTACCCCATAATAATAATATATATTTTTTATACAGTAAGAATTTAAAGGTAATTTATGGTTAAGGTAATAAGAAAATTTTCTCTTTGATTTAAAAAGTTATCATTGCAAAAAATCACTATGGTAAAAAAATATCTTGGGACTATCCATTTGCAGTTTATTTTCATTACATTTTTGGACCTATTACAGGGTTTATCCTAATGTTTTGGCAAAAGGAGAAAAGAAAAGGGTTTACGGTTAGTAATGCTAGCAACAAGAGAATCAACCCAAGGAGTGATTTAGATCCTAAGTTGGGAGGAATTTAGGAAAAGAGGAGTATTATACCTTATTATATAATCTATTATTATTGGATATAAAAAAAAAAATTCAAGAAGAGAATCATTAGGGATGATTAGTTATGCATTTGGCATCTAAATCTCACCCAACATGCTGTAGAACCTACAACAATTAATAAGTAATGCTAAGGTCTCCTCTCTTCCCTTTTTATTTTTTTTTTTAATGGGAAAAGAAATATCAGTCAAAAAGAAGAAAATTAAATAAGAGTCATGCGAAGGGGACAGCAGAGCCTCACACTCCTGCCAAAATCCTCTCACCCTCTACATTTGAGGCTGAACAATCAAAACCCCTTAGCAAACCATGTTATACACATGTGCTAAGGTTTTTCTATATGATGCAATAGTTGTTTCACACATCAATATCAGATACTTAATTTTGAATTCATATATTAGAGGCTCGATTGTATACTATACTGTTTTTCCATATGATGCAACAGTTGTTTCATGTTCACTTGTTTAGTTGTTGTGGACCTTGTGGTTGTGGTCCATAGACATAGTTTACGACCAGTTATACTCATGAGCAATTTTATGGTTGTATCTTCCTCCTTTATGGCCCTCAAAGTCTTCATATTTTATCAATGATATGAGAATAATAACAACAATATGATGCTAAAAATATCCATAAGAACCACAAAATTTCACAACCACCAGAGGTTTCCAAAAATTTTCCAACATTTTTCTCTTAGCAACTAGAAATAGAAGTACTTCAAGTCATCGGTTCTAATCCAGATTTCAAATAGATGAACTTTTACTTCTAGATGATTCTACCTGGTATATTGAACTTCAATTTTGTTTCTCAGGGAACTCATCTCCATGTATTAACCTCATTTTTGGCAATCAAAACAAAAAAGGAGCTACAAGTGGTCAACAACGATACTAAATAGGCCTTAATTACTAACTTCAAGTCTGTTTCTATTAATTTGCTTCATCCATAGATAAGAAACGTGTACACAAAAATAAGCAAAAAAACAGATTCTCTTTATTGCAATTAATTTGACCATTACATATTACTGTCGATCTCATTAAACGGACCTAACACACCAAAAAAAAAAACAGGCTATGGTTTAAAAGAAAAAATAAAAAGAAGGAAAAATTGACTAGTAGTTGAGGATTTTGCTTTATGAAACAGAAAGAGGGCGCCTACATTGGAGGAGGCGAGAGAATATTAACCTAAGGTTGTCACTTGTCGTCTCAAGGTTCTCAAACTGTTAATACTCAGTATATCCTTTTCCATTGCCTACACAGAAACAAAAGGATTAGATGCTCATCGGTCAAGTTGGAAATAACCAATATATCTTTTCCTGAGTTTTACAGATAAATGAAGCATCGAAAAGGTTATGTCAACTTCATCTGGGGGCCAGCAAGCAAATGCTTTTGTAGAGTGATTTAGGGTTAAAAGCACCATTACCAGCAGTAGGGCATGTAACAGTACTACAGAAAAGTATGTTTAAACAGCCACAAGAATAATGGAAGTGAGATTTGTTAGCCCGGTTTTCACAACTCAAATAATTCAAGGTGGTTATTGGTTAGCACCAAAAAATCTGCCATTTGACATATATAAATCGTGCTCGTTTGATGAAGAGAACTGGTCTTCACATATAGAAGTTGACACAGAATGCGCAAAGGAATACAAGTTAATTTTGTTTTGTTTAAACATCTACAAAACTAATGCAATATAAACTGTATAGAGATCAGAGTAGAGAGAGTAGCAAGCTATCAATATTAAGGTTGAATCCAGAGCTTAATTCCTCTGTCATTGAAAAGAATAACTACTAAACCTGCAAAATTTAGTGTAATTGAATATCAAAATTAGCAACTGTTCGAGGAAGTGACTTACCAAGAGCAGTGTTATTTACAAAAGATGGGAGAATGTATACTTTTGTTTGAAATAATGAGTCGGTGATCCTTGACTCTTAGGCCGTGAATCGAAAGGGTACAAATTAAAATACCAAAGCTCATGCATTATTCCACGGTAGTGCGATTATTCTATTTATATTCTACTCAAGATATCTCCCTTAGTGCTCTAGAAGAAACTTTGAGCTGTAAACACTATTTTCATTCTGAATTTAATTCACTTATTTCCAACTGAATTATCTAAAGAGTAACGTGGGCTCATATTGAGAGCATTGACAGGATGACTAAAATACACTGATTTTTCTTTTGTACCAGAGGTCTTCAAAATCAACTTGTTGATGCACATTTATTCAGCAAGGAGACAGTTTTGTAACTTATATCAATTCCTGATTCATCTTTTAACATAAGAGAAAACAACTTTGCAATCAGGTTTAGAAATTGCGTGTTACTAGTGGATCATAGACATATGCTTCACCAGCCTTCACCAGCCTTCACAAATCTGCCTTTAACACGCTTCCTCGTATCTGCTCTGGCTTTACGGGTGGCATATCTTATTTGTTTACCGAACCTACAATTGGCAATAATGAAAATGAGTATGCTTTCACAAGCAGGATTAGTATATAAAACCATGAGCACAATAATAGCTAGTTATTTTAAGTCTGAATGTAAAAAAAATAAGCACAAACCTACCTTCGTGTTTTCTTTTTCTCCTTGTATCTCATCTTTGCTTTATCCCTTGCTCGTGGGCAACTAGTTTCCAGATTTAATTCCCAGGGTGAGTCAGCAGTTAAAAATACTGGTGACGGTCCACAATCTTGGTAATCAGCAGCACTGCTCTCCCCATTGATGTTGGATAGTGACAACATGTTTGAAGGAACTTGGCCAGAAGGAAATCCTAGACTGATGTTTCTATTGCAACTAGGATTCATGAATGTGCAACTAGAACTACCGAACATGGCCTGCATCAAACTAGCTGATACACCAACCCCAGAGGATGGAAAAGCTAACCAATCCTGCTGTCCTGACAAAGATGCCTGACAAGTTACAAAGCCGAGATCATTTAAGTGATCAAATCACAAAATAGCATGAAGAACTGCTTGCATGCAGATACTATTAATTTTTTATGAGACAATATATTTGATATGAAGAAACGTAAGAGAAAAAGATATAAATCAAAGATCTAATAGAGATGGATCTATGAGAAAAACTATCGATTTTGAATTAAATTTAGAGAAAAACCTCTAATGCATTCAAAATAGGACCACTGGATTCAGGAACTGATAAGTTTTTCTCCCTTAATAGGCAGTCTGTCTCAACATCCTCGAGCTGGTATCTAGGATGATCTTGCGAGCAGCCAAATATCTGATCACCAGTTCCAAAGTTTAATGGAACATTGTCAATGCTGAGACCTTCACATATGTCATCACCGCCAGGAAGTTTAAGATCTTTGATGTCAGAACAATCCTGCAACAAATCAAGCAAAAGATGAATGTTGCTGTTAGATGTTAAGACCACTGATGTCACATTTCTTTTGTATCAAATTTTATTTGTATACTCAAGTTAAGAATTTCAAGAAAATATCCAAAAAAAAAAAAAAAAGGAGCAATTACCAATGGCATGTTAGTCTCCTCTGGGAAAAGAGTTACTTGATCTCTACAAAAGGAGTAGGACATGTAATTTGGATTCTGTGGAACCACAGAAGATGACTCCAACCAAGGCTCAAGCTTGGGACAGGACTCTAGATCATTCAACTCAGTTGCGACCAACCCAACTGATCCTTTATTTTCTCTTTGCTCGGACTCGTAGACAATGCAATTCTCATATACGGGCCCAAATGATCCTTTATTTCCTCTTTCCTCCGGGAAAAAGCAATTCTCATTTACGGACCGAAATGATCCTTTACTTTCTCTTTGCTCAGAGACAATGCAATTCTCATTTACGGGCAATGTATTACTTGGCCAACCAGCATCAAAGCTATCCATCAAAGAGGTTTCAAGAGCCGAAGACAAGATCCTTGCAAACTCTGCTGTAGAAGGACAACCTGTAAAGCAATTTAAAGTCTGCCTTCTATGCCCCAAACTCAAGCAACCATTGCCATTCCAATCACAACCTTGACAAAGAGACAGCTTTTCGTCCATGCACCGGACCATTGCTGGCTGAGCATTGCACTTATCGCATAAAAGAGAACGAGCATGCCTACGAGACAATAAATTTGCAGAGTGCACGCATACATCACAGTTGAAGCAAAGCCGGGCTAAATCTGATTTACAGTAAACCACAGCCTTCACCCCTCCACAAAAATCGCACATAGGTTCCATAATTCCGCCTTTACACCTTATCATCACCAACAATTCCTCCTACATACATTACAAAACTTGAAGATCATGGCAGGAACTCATCCTCAAAGATTCAATCCCCGAAGTAAAATATTTTGAAAACAACATTGTCAATCAGTAAAGAACCCAATAGAATTCTGCAATGCAACGTGAGTTTTTTGTGGCATTTCTTCGAACATTACTCAAACATAACAAAAAAAAAACAGAGAGTACACGTATTTAAAGAGCATGAACTGAAATTCTGAAACCGATAGTCAATACCCAAATTAGCCAATGTCAAGAAAAACAGAAAAGGAAACGTTTCAATCGGGAGCGAAGAAAAGAAAACAGAGAGAAACAGAAAAAGAAAGAACAGTAACGAGGCACTGTGCTTTGGTTGGATAAACTGAGAAAATTTAGTTGGGGAGAAGGAGAAAAATTTAATTGGGGGAGAGGGAGACGCGCGGAAGGGTTTATTTGTTCACGTTTTTCCTAGGATTGCTGGGTTTTTGCCACGTGGAACAACATGAGCTTCAAAGTGGGATGCTGTGGTTACGTGGATATTTTTGTCAGCGTTCATGTGGCTAGCCTTTTAACTCGGGATACGTGCCGAGGTTTGTAAACAGGATAAATTGCGTCAGTAGTTTTTAAAGTTTCTATTTGGATAATTTAGTCCCCATAATTGTAATTTGTGATGATTGAATCCTTTCGGTTGATAATTAAATTTTTGTAGTAACATAAAAGATGAAATAAGAAGAAGAAATTTGACATAAGAGAGACAAATGGTGACAAAGAGACCATGAAGAGTTTTATTTTTATTATTTTTTTCTTCTCACATCCATACAAGTTATAAGCCCTTTATATAAACTAACAGAAGGGTAAGAGTTGTAAGAATAAATCATCCACTAAATCATGAGTTACATTGATTTAATCACTTATTAAGTCATTAAGTGTAGACTTACAAGGTGGAACTTTACCACTATCATAATTTCATGAAAGAAGTGGAAGTTAATCATCCTTACATGGTGTGCAAATGCATAGGAAAGTAAGCAGGTGGAAGACGAGGAAGGTGAAACTTCTACAAATGAATTGGTTCAACATACTCCTCTTAGATGTTCACTTTTTATTCTCTATGCTTTGCTTAACTACCTCATTAAAAACCTTATTAGGAAAAGCCTTATAGAAAAAAAAAAAAATTGTGAAGGGGAAAAAAGTGTAGTACACATAATATTCTCCATCAATTTAATGAACATGTTTAATTAAGCAATGCATGCCAATCTTATGTCTCAATTCCTTAAAATTTCTAATTGTTAATGATTTTGTAAAGATAATCTACTAGATTCTCACCCAAATAAATTTGATGGATGATTATTTCATTTCTCTTAGGGGTTCGTATGTAAAAAAAAAACTTTAGTGAAATTTGCATTATTCTATCTTATTTAATTATAAAATGCTTGACCATTATCGTTGCACAAGATGGCCATATTCTTATTGCATATGTTAGATCTAAAATATGTTGTACAAACATTCTTAAAGAGCACAAATATTCTTGAATTGTTTACAATAGTAATATTAATACATGTGCGTAAATACTATATTTATAATTATTTTTTATGTGGATAATAGAAATATCCATAATTCTCCTATTCAATTAATTTGAATTTTGAGTGCCTAAATATAACAACATAAAACATTTGTCTTTTAAAGATAAGAATATATTTGTTTAATTTCACTCTAATAAATTCAAGTGAACATATAGCAAAATTTGACCAGTAAATTTTTAAAAAATGCCATATGATTTTTATATTCAAGTGAATGTATAGCAAAATTTTGTCAATAAATTTTTAAAAAATGTTATATCATATTTATTTTTAGCAAGATATATTAATGCATTAATTGCAATAAAATATGGTACTTCATAACCAAAATTCATCCTTTCAAGGATAAAAAGTATCATCCATTATATCAAGGGATCAAACCACTATTGATGAACTCAAAGCATGGGCTTTATTAATGTTAAAGCACTCCAACATTTGTCATTCATAATTTGATTAAGGTTTAAGTACCATTTTGATCCCTCAACTTTTCACTTTGATACCAAAATTGTCCCTCAGCTTTAAAAAGCACCAAAATTATCCTCAGACTTTTATTTTCGGTACCAAAATGGTCCTTCCGTCAGTTAAATGACAGGTGGCCCGTTAAAATGCCACAAAATCATTAGACTTTTTGAATCTTAATAACGTGTAAATCCAGTTATGAAAATTTTGCTTCCATGGCATTT